TCTCGCGAGAGAGAGAAGAGCAACAGCAAAGATACCTCCTACATCCCATGCGCATTTTATGCCAAGGGTACTTGCAGGAATGGGGATAAGTGCAAGTTCCTGCACAAGGACAAGTCTGCATCGCCCTCTGTCCCGGCCAAGGCTAAGGCACGTGCACCCTCCCCGGCCAAGCGAAGGCCGAGCCGGAAGAAGAGGACAGAAGCTAAAGCGGCTGCCTGCTGCGTGTACGCCTTAGCCGCCCGAAAGGGTGAGCCGGACGGCAGGCATGCAGACATATGGCGTCTTGATGAGAAGTCACTCACGCTATCTAGGGAACATGTTGTTCTGAGAAATAACTATTTTATTCCCCAAAGCTGCCCCGTTCCAGAATGGAGAATCAAGTCTGTTGCGAGCATCACCATGAAGCTGAAAACCGGCGAAGAGCGAACGCTACAGTACAATTGGAAAACGTGCGACAAGCAAGCACCTCTGCCCAATTGGACGGGCGTTACGAGTTTCAAGCTGAAGCCTAAAGACATGAGTGTGTGTTTTGAAAGGCACCCTGAGATACACACAGTTGAAAGCGTCGGAGATGGTTGGAAATTTGTTCCCCATAAGCGCAAATGTGTAGCAAGGTTCAAAACCAATGCTGATTGCCCTATGTCCGACCCTGGTGATCTTCAGTGTGCAGTTATCACCGCACAAAATCTTGAGACCTCAGTGTACTCGGAACTCCATGGTGAAAAGACAAAATGCAAGCATCGCTGCTGCAAGCCTGATTTCGCTTGTCGGCATTGTGCAGCAGGAAACATAATGTCAGGAACTGCCGCTCCAGCGCGCAAGGAACTGCAGAGCTTGGACATCATTGCCGACACGGGAAGTGAAGAGGGCCTTATCAGCTCTTCGGACTTGAAAAAGTGTTTCGAAGGGGTCGGTAGGAAAGTCGACGCAACACCAGTCAACCTTCATACGGCCAATGGCATCGTGGAGGCATCGTCCAGGACAGAAGTCGAGGTTCCGTCAATGAATGGCAGCCTGGAATTCGTGGAACTCCCGGATACCCCACCGGTTTGCTCTGTGGGAAAGAAGTGCATGCAGCAAGGGTACGGTTTTTATTGGCCTCCAGGGCAAGTTCCGTACTTCGTGAAGCCCGATGGCCAGAAGCTCGCTTGCACGCTACGGGGAAATGTTCCAGTTTTCAGCAGTATTGGGAATGATTCCGGACACCCAGCTGCTGTAGCGCATCGCGATGAAGGTGAACGAATGGCGCCCACCTGCTCCTTGCAGCAGGATTTTCACGCATAAGCTGCCCGAAAGGGCATGCCGCAGCAGCCGGACCACTTCCAGGAGCTCCAGACGGTGTAGTCCCGGTACCTGCGGCAGACGAGGGAGATCATCCACCATGGCTGGCAGAGATCCTAGCCAAGGATCCCCCTCTTGAAGGCATGAAGAAAGAGCAACTATTGAAAGCTGGATGGGTTATTGTGAATGGTGATCCCCACGTCAAGGTTGCCCACAACCCAAAGACCTTCAGAACACCAGCACCTCGCTACCCCAAGTATCGAATTCGTTCCACCTGGGGATACAAAGATGGCGAGTGGAAGCAGCTGGAGAACAAGGTCAACATGGACGAGCTCGACGCCGTCTACGGTAAGGTGCCTGAGGGTACCAACATGACCATCACTGTCTTTACCATGCCCGATGGCGGTGAAGATGTGCCCGATAGCGACGTTGAGGTCCACATTCCAAAGTCGAAGAAGGACGAGGCGTCTCTAAGAGCTGAAGCGGAATCCGTGCAGCATCTTTGGAGTCATCGTCCAAAGAACCCTTTCTGCCCGGTATGTCAACGAGCCAAAATGTATGCTCCGCATGCCAGAAGGAAGGGAGGGTCTACCTGCCAAACCCAGGTGTCAGTAAAATCTGCTCGGAACGCTTTTTGTTGGCATTTCCGCTCTTTCCGCCTGTTTCCACTCTTTCCCCCAAAAAATGAAGATTTACGAAAAGCAGCCTTCCGCTAAAAATGCTCGAACCCGTGCTGTTACATGCCCAAAAACGCGCGAATGCAGTATATTGAAACAGCTTCGGAGGATTGATCAGGGTTTGTCTTGGGCTTGTGTTGGGCTCAGGATAGTCCTTTATAGGCCTTCCTGACTGAAGTTTTTGGCTGACAATACCCCTCCATACACTAGATATCCACCGCGAACACCATGCATATGATGCATGAGCGGATACATATATCATATGTCACACTTCCTTATAATCGCAGCTATCTTTCCTTTCAACTTGTACATGACAAAGATGAGGGAGCGCCGGGATGAAACTGTTTTCAATACCAACAATAAGTCCCCTATAAACCGCATGCTCTCTGAACCATAGAAACAAAGCTCAAGGGAGTTGAATGGGTTTAGGATGTTTTCGGACGGCTGCTGGGATATGATTTTGGGCCAGAGAAGAGGAGCAGGGGGTGGGGTGGTCAAGTTCCGCTCTTTCGGGATATTGGTTTGTGGGGGATTCCGGGGATTTCCGCTCTTTTGACGCGGATTTCCGCTCTATTGACGCCGATTTCCGCTCTTTGAAGCGCGCAGGTTTTAATCAACATTGGCTCTATTTCCGGCCGTTTCCAGACACGGGTCACAGCACTGCAGTGGCTGCACGTCCAAGGTCCAGTTCTGGATGCGTGTCGACAAAGAGATTGGAGAATTTAGGTGTTTTTCATGGTTTTAAAATCGGGTTTTCGAGAGTCGAGAGATCACGAGAAACCCATTAAAGGAACTGTAAAAAAACCAATCGTTCTTGCTTTTGACTAATCTTAATAGAACTCGTGCGCTCCTTACAACTCTATGAAAAATATTATTAAGAGCACTCCCATACTCCGTAATCGGTCTCATGACACCTCAGCTAATCCTTTAAGACTCTGTTAACGCCTGGTCTGGACTCATCACTCCTTCCTCACTGACAACCTACTACATCGATAAACAAGCAGCATTGGCTAGGGAGGCCGGCGCTCGCGCAACATTCCAATCAAGCCGAACCTGAAAGAATTGCTCGCAACACACTTCGGAAACCACAGAAAAACGCTCTCAAAAAACCTTGCGATGGCAGGTATTTCAAGCGTTCCGCACATTTCCGCTCTGAGTGGCCGAAAACGACTTTTTCATCTCATAAACATTTTTCTCCAGAAGAACTCTTATTCTGCAGCAAGGGGTTTGGCAGGTAGCACTGTGCACAGCAAGGGGTTCGGTGACCACATCACCATCGACCACATCATCACGAAGGACGCCAAAGACTACGGATTTGAAGGACAAACTGTAGCACATGTTGTGAAGGATGTCTTTACGAAGTTCCGTTATGTTTACCCGGCTGACAACAAAAGTGGTGAGCAGTGTTACGAAGATTTACTGCACTTTTTCGAAGTCGATGATAATGTTAAGGTTGTTTACTCAGACAACGCTCTCGAGTTCGACTACGCGGTTAAGCAACTCCAAGCTAGGCACAACAAATCCAGGGAGTATGTGGACCAGAACAAAGCAGTGATCGAGCGTGAAATACGAACGATCTTGGAAGGTACGCGTGCCAATTTGGTACAATCTGGTTTACCTGATCAGTTCTGGCCACTTGCATCCCAACATCATGCTATTTCTTTAAACGTTAGTAAACGTCTTGACAACGGTTTAGTGCCATGGAATCAAAGGTTCGGGAGCGACTTCCAAGGGGTCCTTGTTCCCTTTGGAGCTAAGATTTTGTACTGGGCCGACCCCAAGCAGAAGCAGCCCAAAAGGTCAAAGTTTGCGGGGACGGGTATCGAAGGAATTTTCCTCGGGTATCATATCCAGCCTGGCTTCGTCTTCAAGGAAGAGTACTTAGTTGCTCCTTTGCAGGGACTCAACGAGGCCATCGAGAATGACGCCTTCAGGACTTTCAGGACCAAAAGGCTTGAGCTCCTGGAAGGGAAGTTCCAGTTCCCATTGTCACCGGATCTTAAAGCTCTGGGAAACCAGAAGCCGCCCGAACTCGATGATCAACATCACAACGCCGTTGAAGAAAGAAACCCACATCAAGAAGAAGATGATTTCGAAGGGGGAGTGGGGCCGCTCGATGAAGGAGATCGGCCATTAGGAGGGTCAGCAAGGGACGACATTGTCTATCCTGCACGATATGATCCTCTAGATGATGTGCCCTTCTCAGTCCGAGAGAGATTGGCACCTGCGACTCCATCGTTCAAAACAAAAGACGGAATCGGCATCCCGTATGGCTATCGTTGGGATGGGGAGAGACTGATCAAGCAAAAAGGCCTTTCCTCGCTTCCGGGCATTCAAGCTAAAGTATGGAGCAAGCTGACCATCGAAGAAAAGCACAAAGCGCTTGCAGAACATCAAGCTTCAAAGCAAGCCAAGGTCGACGAGGACTACAACCAGGCGATAAAGCACGTTCCAGCAATGCCGGTGTTGTATGGGAAACCCGAGGACCACCGAAAGAAAATGTGTTCCCTCTACGAGTCTAAGCTCCTGGAGATTGCCCAGGACATGTACGCGGTCGTGGCCAAGATCCTGTCTGCGAAGGAGATTGAATCCAGTCCCGAAGCGCAGGCTGCCCTCGACAAAGAGTGGAAGAAGCTTGTTGATAAGGGTTGTTGGGTAGAGAAACGAGTGAGAGAGTACGACTCCGTTGCGGCAGAAGCACGAAAAACCAATGAGAAAGTGCACTTCGGGAAAATCTTCGAAATCGGGACTCTAAAAGGTTCTGAGTTGAAGGAGAACGACCCGAATCGCCGTTACAAGGGTCGGTCAGTGTTTCAGGGCAACAAGGTCTTGGATGAGAACTCTGATCATGCTCTCTTCGCAGAGATGTCGAGCAGTCCTGCTTCTATGGAGGCGGGCAAAATATTAGATATCTTTGGATCTCAACCCGGCTTCTCGATTCAACAAGCGGATGCACGACAGGCGTATACGCAGGCTCTCTTCACTGGGGTTGAAACTTGGGTAAGGCTCCCTCGCAATAGATGGCCAAAAGACTGGAGGTCTATGAAGGACCCGGTCGTTCCCCTGAAGTTGGCTCTTTATGGGCACCCAGACTCAGGGGGGATATGGGAACGTCATTGCGAGACTGAGCTCAAGAAGGTGGGATTCGAGCCTGTGCTCACTGACATCTGGAAGAGCGTGTTCTACAACGCCGATTTGGAGCTCTTAATGGTTATTTATGTTGACGATTTCAAACTCGCTGGACCTACGAAGAACATCCAGAAAGGCTGGGAATCTATTGCAACAGTAATAGACATGGATCCCGCTGAGGTGATTGGACGTTACTTCGGGTGTCAACACATCGAGGAAACGAACGTCAAGCTTTCCAAAGAGCACCATCCTTTTCACTATGTCTTCGAGCCCGAAAATGAAACTGCAGCCCCAGCTAAGATCGCTGAGGACAGGTGGGACGTGATCCCGGAAGTCATGCTTGCAGTTCGGCACCATAGCTATCCCAGAAAGAGGTTGTACATGCCCACTGAAGAAGATGTTCAGATGTTCCCTACGATTGGACCTCAAAGATACACCTTTCAGGCTGCAAATGGGGTGACAGAAGAACAACAAGACAATATGAACATCGCTAGGGACAAATGCTTCAAACAGTGGTGGACAGGTACGACGTACTTTGACTTCGCTGCCCGGGGGCCTGAAGAGTTCGGTCTGGCTGTTGCAGCTGCCCGAAAGGGTAAGTCGGTTCGAAACAAGGCCGAGGCAAAGAAGGAGGTCAAACAGAACAAGTTCGTTTCTCTTTCAAGGGATCAGGAGGACAAGCCGGGCTCTATGACTAAACCGGTTACAAGAATCACCTATGACATGAAGGATTTCTTGCATTCTTGTGTGGATCGCTACTGTGAATTGGCAAAGGTGGATCGTAGCTCGTTGAAGTCAGTGAGCACACCGTTCCATGAACTTCGGACTGCCACTCCTATCGTCAACGAAACGGAGAAGACAGGGCGGCTCCAACCTATTGCAAGTAAGGTCCTCATGAAAATCCTGTTTGCTGCAAGAATGGCACGATGGGATCTTTTACGAGCAACCCAATCCTTGGCCTCGCGAGTCACAAAATGGAGTCCAGATTGTGATCTAGCATTACATCGCCTTGTATCGTACATCAATTCTTCTATCGACCTCACTATGAGTGGGTTTATTGGGGACTCGATACATGATTGCAGACTCTGGCTTTTTAGCGACGCTGACTTCGCAGGTGAGTATGATTCAAAATCTACTACTGGATGTGCTCTGTTTCTGGTGGGCCCGAATACGTACTACCCCATCAACGCCTTCAGTAAGAAACAAACGTCCAGAACAATGAGCTCTACCGAGTCTGAAGTGGTGTCGGCTAATCAGGGTGTACGCGCCCAAGGTCTCCCAAGCCTCAGCCTCTGGTACTTCCTTTGGCGCGGCAAAGCCGACCGCGAGGTTGGGCCGAGGGCTGAGATGAAGACTACGAACAATTCTGCTGTGGCACGCATAGACCCTGAACTTGATGAGATTCGGTATGGCACTACCAGACCCGATGGCATGTCTATTGCAGATATCAATGGTTTGCACGTTCAGCTTCCCAAATGTTTTCAGATTAGGCATTTGGAAGATAACCAAGCGACCATTACTCTGCTGTTATCAGGGCGTGCAGGTGTGCTTCGACATACAGACCGCACACAAAAGGTTAGCTTCGGATGGCTCCGTCAGCAATATGAAGAAGGACATTTTCGCCTCCTCAATGTTGACACCAGCGAGCAAGTTGCAGACGTGTTCACAAAGCCTTTTACGGAGCGAACAAAATGGATACATGCGTTGAAGCTCATTGCTCACACCTACAAGTCGGTCGACCCTCAAGCCGGAAGAAATTCCGTGTCGAAATCTGTTCCCGCTGCTCCGAAGTCGGTGTGTATTACCACAGATCAACTGGAACATGTTGCAAAACTGCTTCGCCGAGCTGATCGATATGATTTCGAAGATTTCGAGCAGGTCGCCGAAATGATGTACGACAACCTTCGTATGTCGAGCTCAAGGCTTCGCAGTGTCGTTCGTTCCGGCACCGAGCTGGCTCCCAAATACTTCGTGTTTGGGCTGTGGACACATGGTGGGTGCTTCGGCCTAACCAAGCGTACTGGTCAAATGTCCCAACTGTGCCGCTACATAAATGGTTTCATCCGCAAGCACGCTCCAAAGCATTTTACCTGGACTTCGTTTGTCATCAATTTTATGGGCAGGGCTGGCGTTCACAGCGACAAGTTTAATCTCAGAGGCAGCCAAAACTGGTCCTTCGGCTTCGGTCCCTATCAGGGGGGCGAGCTCTGGGTGGAGGATCCCGACCAAAGGATGGACGCTTTCACTGACAAAGACGGTAAGACCTGGCTTGGCCGCAACCTTCAAACTTGTCGAAAACCCGTGCTCCTAAACCCTCACCTTCGACATGCTGTTCAACCCTTTACAGGAAACAGGCATTCTCTCATTGCCTACTCATCAGGGGGGTGGACAAAGCTGGGTGACGATGACAAGCAACTCCTACAAGACACTGATTTTAGGACGCCCCGGGCTCAGTTGAAACATGCGTGCGTTTGTTCATGTGCATCCCCTCACGATGAGGGGGGTAAAAATTGTCCCAAAACCACTCCCGAAACGGTCGCGTCGGTTTTGCGCGCATCGATCGGGAACGCACAAACATACACCACGTGCACAAGTGCTTCGGTTGAGCCTGCTGTACCGACTCTCTCTGTGCTAGCTGGCTCTCTCCAAGTGGTCAGCAGTATTGAGGCATTAGGAACAATGTCGCGATTGGTCGCCCATGGTGCGGGCTACTCCTGCGATACTGGTATGGAGGGCCGACCTTTGGCACTGCAAGGACATCTCAACATGCTCGTCAACGCCGGACTGAGCGTGGAGTACTTGCAGCTCCAGGCGGGGAAGGAGTATGACGCACTCCTCAAGTCCTATGAGGTCTTCCCCCCACAGACCATCGCCAGCCTCAGCCTCAATGACCCCGAGATTCCAACGCCGAATCTGCTTAAGCTGGCTCGCATCTCGAACGAAGGTCTCAGCAAGCTCCAGCCAACCGAAAGGTTGCGCCGAAGTCGCTTTCTGCTAGTGGTGACGGACTCAGTCACGTCCCTTGGACGACAGAACACCAAGGGGCAATGGAAATTCTCCATTCCCGAAGAGGAGATCTTCATGGCAGCACTGACCCTCAGGTACACGAGCGATAAACTCCACATGTGCTGGGGAAAAACGCTGTCGTGGCTCACTTGGCAGGTGCAGGAGGAGATCCAGGCAATCCGTGCCAAGTATGGGTCGGAGTGCGAGATCGATGTGATCGTTTGGTGGTCAGGAAATGAAGTTGCTGGACGACGAGGATGCATCCCCACGCGGCTCGCTCCGGGCGCGGCATATTCGACCTCCCAGACCTCGGCAGAAGATGTTGCGAGGAAGGTGAGGCGCTGCGCCGACGCGCTAGCCACCCTAGCGGGTGAGCCACATATCGGGTTTGTCCGCATCGTCGGCAACGTTGACCACGAGACCTACAACTTGCATCCCGCGTACAACGAATTCATCTCCAAGATGTTTCATGAATTCACAAGTCGCGGATTGCAAGTTCAAAACGCCACATCCCAGGCAATGAAGCTGTCCTATTACGATGATTTTCATCTTTGGGATACCCCCGAAAACCGCAAGCAGATCCAAGACTACATCTACACCACGGCGCTCCTTGGCGACCTGGAAAGGGAAGCGTCACGGTATGCAGATGTTCTGGATCGACTAGGAGATCTTTTCCCCTACATCGAGGTGGAAGGCGGCTACAGGATGGACAGTGCAGCAGGTCGTGAAGCCCTACGCCTCTACAAGGAGGTGGTTGAAAGTGGCAGAAAAGACCTGAAGGTCCACAAGATCAAGGCGCCTGTGCCCGTGAAGATCAGCAAGGAAGACACCTGGTGGGAGGTCCCCGACGCTACCACTGCGCATGAACCAGTTGCCGCACCCGCTCAGCAAGACAAAACGATCGCCCGATCAGAGGTGGAGTATCCTGTGGTTTCGGACGTATCGGAGATCGATGAGGTCAAGGGTGAGGTCGTCCAGACCGAGTCAGAGAAGGCTGAGTACCTTCCCCTGAACGAGGTCGTGCTCGCCGATGATGGGGATTATCGACCCCCCCTGGCGTCAGACGGCCGGGCAACAAGCGCAGCTACCCGAAAGGGTAAGTCGTCGGGGCAAAGCGAGGATGTCTACGCCCGCGAGATGTACCAGGACGCATCCAAAACCCATGGTGGAGAGGAAAGCCAGGAGCAGGACCTCCCGATGACCGGTTACTGGTACAACGGGGAGCTCCACGACCTTGAGCCTCTGCCAAGTGCCGATCTCCGCAAGTATGAACAGCGGGTGAACTTTAGGCACGGCGACCTCAAGCTGCTCAGCTTGCTCTTGAGGGGACACCAGAATGACTGGTATGGGCTGGACTTCGACATCGCCATGTGGACGGATGTCGATAAGCTCCTGGACCGCTTCAATGAAGCAACTCGTCGAAAATGGGGCGTAAGACAGCTGCTGCAGGTGACCGCGCAGGACAAAAAGAGGAGGTTCGAGATTCTTGGGATCCGACATGAGATCAGCAACAGCCTGAATCTCTCCCTCTTTCCTGTGCGGATCAGAGCAGTCACCGGCCACTCGGAGAAAGTGATGCGCATCGAGTCAGACGAGTTCCTTGCCCGGAGGTTTCTCACCAATGAGAATTTGGATGTCGCTCCACAGGTCATATACCACCGCACGGATGCGAAGAGCGTGGAGTTGATTTTGAAATCCGGGATCAAGGTCGCTGGCGGCAGAAAGGGCGGGCGTGCCCATGCGTACTTCTCACCTACTACCCTCAAGGACGAGAAGTACACTTCTGGACTCAGGTCAACGCAGCCGTTCCAGATTGCGGTGAACCTGCATGAAGCTCTCCGAGATGGCCTCGTCTTCTTCGAGAACAGTACCCGCGGGATCTTGACCCGTGCAGTCGTTGGCCCTCAGTATATCCTGTCATGTGTGGACACCAACACGAACAAGGTGATCTACGCAAGAGCAGGAGAGGCCCAGCCTGCAGCCACCCGAGAGGGTGAGCCGGATACTGTTGAACAAGCCTCCTCGAGCTCAACAATCAAAGCCTTGGCATCAAGGGCTGTCCCAGAAGACCAACCCAAGCGAGTCAAGGGCACTGTTGGCGCTTTCATCGAGGCAAAGAAGGCGAGGATCGATGCTGCTGCGTTGGAATCCATTGAAGAGCAAGACGAGGCATCGGTGGATGACCAACCGCAGCCTGCACAGGAGGTATCCGACACGGAAGAGGCAGAGAGCGACAGCGAAGCCCCATACGGGAGCTATCCATGCTCGGCCTGCCAACGCATCGTCCTGCTTGGGCAGCGCTTTTGCATGACATGCGGTGAGAACCAGTTTCCGGAGTCCAACAAGGCAAGCCGCCAGTACACCTCGTTCCAACAAAACCGCCGCACCACACTCCTCAAGCTGACGTACAATGCTCGGAATGAGGATCTCCTGGGACACCTCCGTGGCATCGCAGAAAAGTTTAGCAAACAGCGGGGCTCAGTCTCCCTGGATGCGCTGATCATACGCGATGCCAAAGACAAGTTCCAACGTGCGAGAAAGCTCAAGTTCGACTCCATTGCTGACCGGTTGGAACGTGATGCCACCTTCTTCCTGCAGATGATGAGGAACGGAATCACGGTTCAGGATGCGTGCCGAATGGACCTCCTGGTGAAGGCCGTGCTCCCGGACCCAGGCCGCACGCACGGAAGAACAGCGGCTTCTGCAGGCGGGGTCGAACTACCTCAGCGGAGCTTCCCGAAAGGGAATGCCGGGCAAGTTGGTTTACTATGGCGATGCGCCAATGGATGGCCTAAAATCGGCTGGACTGATTGACCAGTTCTCCGAGAACCCAATCGGGATGGCCTACGGCGGCGCCTTCATCGGCTTCAGCTTCTATGCCGATATCGCCACCCGCTTGTCCGGTGCCCGCACAATCTACAGCTTCAACGGCATTGTGGAAATCAAGCATGAAACGCCGGAAGGCATGATTGCCGAGCTGCAAATGCTGGCAGCCGAATGCATCCACTCTGCCGAGGAGCAGGAAAGAATCACCGCCTACCACGCCGCCAAGAATCGGGAGACGGCACAGCAGCGAACGGAGGCTGCCACTACTACCCGTCCATCGACGCAGAGCGCCTCATCAAGGGACACAGCTGTTCGTGAAGCACCCTGGCATCAAGGGCAAGAACAGTGGTGGTCAGACCGTGAATGGCGCGAGTGGCGTGAGTGGCGTGAGCCAGCTAGTCAGGGTTGGGGCTCATCCCGCTGGAGCAGTCAGCGCGGATCGCAGTGTTGGAGCCGCTGAATGCCCACTTTGTATGCACAATAGCTCAAGTTTTGCTTTCCCTTCACCTTTGTTTCGGTCATAGCGGGCGGGACAACATGGGCCACCCGAAAGGGTGTGTCGTAATCCTCTGTCCACCTTAGCTTGTGCCAAGCACGGTGAGGGGGGTGTAGTTTTTCATGGAGGAATTACACTCCTTTTGCGAGCTGTGCATACCATCGCTTTACCCTCGACTGTGGCTCAAGTTGCCGATAAAAAGAGGCGTACTTAACGGTTTATATGTTCCCTCATGTGCTGACCTGAAAACTTCAAGGCTCAGGTTCAGGGTTCGCGGCCTCAGCCTGTCGTAGCCTTCCCCGGAGGCGTGCCTTGGCTACCTATGGGGTATCATCGACGAGGAGCCCAATCCGAGCAGGCGGACATCCGACGGGTCTCTGTAGTTTAGGCGTGCTTCTTCAAGCCTTGCAGGAGGTCATACGTTAAATAGAGAAGACATGGAAGCCTAGCTTTTTGGTTCCGGCAATTTCCATGCAATACAACTAATGCACTAACTGTGCTCAAATCACGGCAAAGCATTCTTCCTGTTATTTCCAAAAAAATTGGAACCACCTCGTAGCATATTTGTATTGCAAAGGTGCATTGGATGAACGCGAGAATTATGGAGAGCTTAAGTTGTTTAGCTTGGGACCACGGGGTTTTAGGACAGGTTAGTGAGGCTGGAGTTTTTGGTCACCCTGATGTTGTTGTTGCCCGAAGTGGTCGCATCTTCTTCTCCTGAAGAGTCGGAGGTAGAACGCTGTTGCGTCGGAGCTGCCTCGGGGCAGGCTCTGGAACGGCTCGGACGCAACCCGAACGCAGCCTGATGACTCGACTTTCTTCAAGCTGCTGGACCGTGAGCCCTAAGACCCCAAGCCTGCAGCAGTACAATCAGCCCTTCAAGCCTTATGCTTCCCTCCGTTGCGAGCGAAGTTCTGACGTGTAGCCCCAGGATGGTTTGCGTTCATGGAGGAGGGTTTCGGTTTGGAAGGACGCTAAGCGTTCCAAGTAGCTTGTGTCCGGCTTGACAACAGCCATCAACAGAATAATTTGCTCCATGCTTCTTCATTTTTTACCCATGGTTGACTCCATGAAGCTCTCTGGAAGATCCTCGAAGGAGGGCATTGCGAAGCAGTGGCCTCGACCTCCGGCGCCTGACCTGCTCTGCTTTGCGCAGCGCACGGGGGCGCGATGGGAGGCGGCCATCGGGCCTGCGTGGGTGAAGCTTTCATGTTCCCACTCTTGAGTGTCAGTTGCCTTGGTAAGGGTCTGGGCTGGGAGGACGTTGCCTGGAATGAGCCACCTTTCTCTGGCCTGCGTGGTGTCGGAAAGCTGACGCCCTTCCACCGTGTTGCGACAAGGCATGCAATTTTCATCCCCACGAGACCTCTGTGTGAACTTCGCCCCTCATTTCGAGCTCCGTGATCTGAGTCAGGGTTGTCGGCTTCGCTTTGTCAATCGTGGGACCCACACATAACCCCTGAACAACAAAAGCACGGTGGCAACCCATCGCTTACGCACCTCCAGTCGATCATCTTTTTCGCTTAAAGCACGACATACCACATATACGAAGTGCATAAGATCAGTTCTTGAAGTCTTAACCAAATGCAGGTTCTCTGTAGAGCGGTGATGACTACCTGGTGTTGACGAGAGGATGAACAGGCACGTGCTATGATGTCTGCATCGGGTCCCTCCGTGTGACGTCTAAGGTGCAAGCGCTGGGCAATGCTGGAGCCTTCAGTGACCCCGGAGCCACCGACCTTATCGCCCGCGCTCTCGAGGCTTTCGGGATGCCTCTGTCCGATCAAAACATCCCGAAAGCTGTAGCCTCCAAGGTGAGGGGCATGGTCGGATGCTCACGCTTGTGCGTAGAGCCTTGGTTTATAGGCAGTCTTTACACTCAAGTGACTGAAGCTGGCTCGCAACGCTTGGATCGCCTGGCCTTGAAGGCTGGCGCTGACTGGGAGGTGGCGAGCTCTCCCAATCCCACTCTTGCCTAAGCCTAAAGTTCTGGACTTGGATCCCAGTGTAGCGCTCCGGCCGCGCAGCACTTCAAGCAGTCGAGTTTCGGAAAGGCTGGGGTTGGGGATGTGGAATCGTCAATGTGTTGGGGTTTCAAGCTTGCTGTTGCGTGCCAGTCAAGGACTCGGAAGCATCGGGGGGATCCTGGTGCCCGCACGTACCCCAAATGCTTCATTTTGACCGTGGGAACCCCACGCCCAAGTCTCACAGAGGACAGGTTGAGGTGTAATCACACAGGAGTCCGCACCGCTGGAGAATTCCCCAGGCTGACCCTAAACTCGTAGCCCTAAGCGCCCGAAGCAAACCCTAAACCATAGACCCAAGATCCTCTTAGGGAGTCTAGGGGTTTAGGGCCAAGCATCGGTGAGGTGGACGACCCCCAGCTTCCAGGACCGATGCGCTCCTCGACATCCTTGGTGGGGGGGGGGGGCATTAGGAGGAGAGGGTTATATAAGGGTCCTGCTTCGATGATTTTTTTCTCCCTTATTTGCTTGAATGGGATGCGAACGGCTCAAAGCGTCTTGGAGTGATTCAGCTGTTGCTGTCTGGTCCCGGATTTAGACCGAGTTGTCAAGTCATTCAAGGTGTCGCGTTTATTGTGCCGATTGTTGGAGTGTCGAGCTTTTGGTCTTGTTGATGATCGGATGGTGTTCGGAGTGAAGTGGCAGACACGAAGAGGCACCTAGCTCGGCTGAGTGGCTCCACGTGTCTGGAGGCCCTTCTGATGTCAGCAGTGGTACCCCCACCCTACACTTGTTGCATAAACGTGAAATAAGCCGCATGCGTAGGATTCAGGGTCGGCCAACGGATCTCGCAGAAACCGCAGTGTCTCCAAGAATAAGTGTTTGTGCTGGATGCGCTTGATGAGGACCCAAAGGCATGTAAATCTGGGAACTGGTCTTGACACTTAATGAGGCTTCCGCGTCAACATTCCAAAGCTCATGTGGAGACATCGACATGAGACGGTCGCTCGAAAGCATACAGAGGGCTCGGTCAGTTGTGCGGCATGTCAGGCGAGTGTGTGGATGTGGATCAACACAGGAAGGGCAGTTCTTGTGTATACGGCAGGCGGGCAGCCAAACTGCACGGATATGTTCCGGGCCGTCTATCGAAACTGCCGCCATGTCCAGTGCTTGGAATCGTCTGTAGGGCCAAAGGGCCCTATCAACCATTCACTGCTCCTCTCCCAATCTTTACAACTGCAGGTACAGATGCTGGCCCTGCTCACATTCCGCCGAGCAAGGCTCCGCGAGGTGGATGGGGACATCAAAGCACAAGAGACTGCGCCGCCTGGTGGAAGGCATGTATGACTCGTGGTTGCGGCATGTAGGTGGTTCAAGAGTGGGGTTCGGGTCTTAGGGCCTCAGGGTCTCTGGTTTGGGCTGCTTCGGCTACCTGCCTAGGTTTTGCCTGGCTGCACTGGCACGGCTAGTAGCCGCCACACAGCCAGTCACGTTTTCTGTTCGCCACTCGGACTGGCCTATGATGGCATATGAGAGAGTTCGGTAGTACAGGTGACTCGGTGTGGCTAACAAGCAGTATCGGCTGAAGGTCTGCACGTGACTCCGAACCTGTCCGAAAAGGTCCAATGAGCATTCAGAGGGTCCCGCTAGCATGCGAAGCTGTAGGGCTCCAACCCAGACCTTTGCAAATTTCTTGCATCCTCAAAGAAGCAGCAGTCAGCAGACCTGGTTTTTTATCAGCAATCGGACTCAGGTCACCCGTTGGTCGTTCTGGTTGTCAGCTTTCTTCCTCGGGTCCCGCCGGTGATCGGTTACGACTTCGAAGCACATTGGGCGTTCTCCGATGGAAGCAAGTGCTTCCGCCAACGCCGGAGATGACCAAGAGTGGCGAAGAGGATGAAAAATGCGTCCAGCGGTAGTTGAGCCGGCCAAAAAGCCAGAAGCTGGCACCAAGACATGTCACGGACACCAAACGCACCCCAAATGCCTTGGCCGTCAAGCCCTAAGCTATCTGCGTGCGCACGCACTACACGTGGCATGCAGCCGTGACTCTAGTGATATATGGTTCAGCGTCGAGCGTCCTGGGCCCCCCCCCCCCCATGGTATCCCCCCCCCCAAGTCTACTCTACGGTCCCTAAACCCTAAACCCTAAACCCTAAACCCTAAACCCCTAAACCCTAAACCCTAAACCCTAAACCCTAAAACCTAAACCCTAACCCTAAACCCTAAACCTTAAGTCTTAAACCTTAAACCCTAAACCCTAAAACCCTGAACCCTAAACCCTAACCCTAAAACCAACCCCCAACCACACCACAGGGGGGGGGGGATCATCTTAGTACCCCATCCGCGGGGAAAACCCTAAACCCTAAACCCTAAACCCTAAACCCTAAACCCTAAAACCCTAAACCCTAAACCCTAAACCCTAAACCCTAAAACCCTAAAACCCTAAAACCCTAAACCCTAAACCCTAAACCCTAAACCCTAAACCCTAAACCCTAAAACCCTAAAACCCTAAAACCAACCCCCAACCACACCACAGGGGGGGGGGGGTACCATTGGGGGGGGGGGGGGGGGGGGGCCCGCCGGGGCTGAATCATATATTGAAGGGTCGCTCAAGAACCTTGAATCTTCAGCCTTCAGCCCTGAACCGGAAAAACCTGAATCGAACCCAGGTCTTGGGTTGGTGTCACTCGCACTCAAGCCCGACGGCATCAGCATCCTGACCAGCCAGGTGTGCTGTTTTGAGACCTGCACGTCTTGAATCACCATCTGACTGGAGTGACTGTAGAGTCTGGAAGATTTTGGGACTCGATCTCTTGGTGTCTGTCTCTTTGCTTCGCAAATTGTCCTGGGAGGTTTTTGGGCTTCAACTGGAGGGCATGAGAGGGGTTTAGGCAGTTTCGGTTGATGTGCTTGATGGGCTCTTTTGTCCTCACTTTCTAAACCTTGAAGTGAAATTTTGCCCTTCGTGAGAAGGCTTGGGTGCTACGACAGACTCGAGCGCCGACAGCATCGTCGCGGGCTCGGACTTTGTTTTAAACATGTTCAACACCTGGAAAGCTCGGTTTGTTTCATTGCCGAGGGAGGAGCGGTTGATTGCATTGTCACACGAGTCGGTTCGAGGCCGCGTGGTAGTAGCATCGCGTCACGTATGTGGTCGTACCATCTTGAAGATGCCGGTTCTCATGGATGTCTAACTTAGCCTCGGAGACGTCGCCATATTAAACATGAGATCCCTGCTTCTCATGCTTCCCTTCTTTAAAGTTTTCGAAGTCAGCTTCTCTTTATCTCTCCTGCTCGAAATGGCAATGGCGAGTCAAACGCTTTCCATTAGCCCGATGTGTTCCTGAGCTTTCAGAAAGCAACATCATAGGAGTGAGGAAGTTTCAACGGTACTTCTCAGGTGGAGGTGCAGCATGGGAGTCCTGCTTCGAGCATCTGCCCGGTCACGGTGGAGAGCCATCCTCCCTGAAGCAGCGCGCTGTGTGGCACGTCTCCGGCAGTGCGCTACTTTTGGGCGCCTTTCTGGAGCAGGCTGAGGCAGAGATTTCGCTGATTTTAAGAGGGTTTCGGTTCGAGGGGTCGTCTGGCATACGGCTTCAGAGAGGCAACGTGTTGGGCCCTTCAATGAAGAACGAGCGCCAAACTCCAAACACAAAACTTCAGCACCTGTGAAACCTTCAGCTCCAAACGAGCAGTTTCGGCCTTCCAGTCCCGCTGCAGCGACATGTGCAATGCTGGCGCCGAGGATGTTCTCAGAGAGGGCCAAGGAAAGCGAACACCTCCCCCCCAACCCGAACATCCCTTCCTCCTGTCGCTTTCCCTGAAGGTAAACTTTGCTTGAAGGCGACGCTGCTGGCCGGAGACGGGAGCCTCCTTGTG